ACTTTCATCAATCCAGTGTGCTGTTATACATAAATAACCAGTTTGCACTCTAGATGACCAAATATCAGAAGTTAAAGAAAATTTGCAGTTTAAATTTTTAAAATAAGAAATTATTTTTCCCTGTTCCTCAACATAATATTTTAAAATATCACGTTGACAGGTTTGACGAGAAAATTTTGTAAATGCAGGATAAAAACCATCTCTAAACAAATCTTCAAATTCATCATCTTCTACTAATTTAAAAGGAAGGTTTTTAAGAACAATAAACCTGATTACGCATTTCCGGGCTCGGGCAGCGTCATAATTCCAACTGCCGAGGGTACCTGAAGAGGATGATTGGGAAAGCATAGACTGCCGGATATCACCTTGTAGATTTTGGCCTTTGTTGTGTTTTTCAATATGCCGTTTGAGATGGTTGGTGCCGCTCTTATGATGAGCTTTGAATATCTGGCCGCACAACGCACATTTCGCATTCTGAGAGATGATCCTACCGTGTTCATCCTTGGTGACGTCTATCTTCTCAAAAAAATTCCATACATCAGACCTCGGCCTTTTTGGAGCTCTTGGTGCCGTAGATTCGTCGCCACCAGATTCAGGATTAACACCGGTAGGATGAGGAGGAGTTGTTGTAGGAGGACTCATCTCTGGATCGGTAGGAGTTGCATGTTGCTCTTCATAATCAGACCCAGAAGCCATTTGTTGGAAGTATTAGAAAATACAAAAGATTATAGGATAGTATATTAGTATGAGATAGTATAAGATTGTATAAGAGAGTAGTAGAGAGAGAAATAGATGAGTTTTGTTGTGAGAAAATGAATTGAAACCCCCCCTCTATTTATAGAAGCAGCCCCCTAGGTAAATGACCAAAAAACCCTCGAAAAATAGCCGTTTTTTGACCGTTTTAAGGGGCAAAACGGTCAAAAGACCAAATCTGGCCGTTAGGCCAGATTTGGCCCGGGCCGGGCTGGGCAACGGTCACCTTTGTGACCGTTATGGCCGACCCGGGCCCGGGCCCGGGCCCGGGTTTTGCCCGGGTTTCCGGGCCCGGGCACGACCGGGCTCGGGCTCCGGGCTTTTTGGACACCCCTATACTCCTCTTTGAAGGAGTCTGGGGGGAAGCTTTGGCTTACATTCAGGAACACAACTGAAAATTACTATGAGATATGGACTATGGATGGTAATTTGAATAGTAAATGGGTCAAAGAGTATAAATTTCATAATGATAACCTCGCAAGTTTTCACGAGGGTTGTGATGATGTTATGGAAATTGTAGATGGTGATACTCTCTTTAGGTTCTACAATGGCAAATGGCATGTCATTTCTTATAATCCTTGTAGTGGAGCTTCACGTAAACTCGTCCTTGGAGGAAACCAAAGTGATTTTGCTTTTTACAAGGAAAGCCTTATTTCGCCAAAAGCTGTCGAAGGTATCTCAAAGACATAGAAAACAGGGCAGAGGTGAGTCATGCATCGATTATATCTGGGAGGAATTCAGTTGTGATATAGGCATACACACATGAGGAATTGGACACCGTAAACGAAGCTTTGCTTAGAACTTCGTATTTTCACTAGAGGAATTGAACATTATCTAATTTGCAAGTTATTATGCAGTATGTTTTGGGATTTCTTGTTCGCGCCTGTAGAATTGTTTATCTGTATCTATAAGAAGTTTGCAGTTCATATGCAGAGAAGTATATGGAGCCATTGATTTAATGACTATATTATTGATTGTAGTTTTGTAAGTCAGATTATCCATCTTGTTGGTTTTATGTGCAAGAGGTCATGCACTGAATGTATGTTGGTGGATCGCTTTTCCCCCCAGAGGTATTATGCAAAATCTGTAGTATTTGAAATTTAGCTTCCCTCTTATTAGATTAGCCTATTAGTTAATAATTTGTTCTCTATGTATATTCGTAGAACTTCTCTCTCTCTATATATGTGTGTGCGTGTGCGTGCGTGCGCGTGTGCGTGTGTAAGATTTAAGGGGCTAATATCTAAATAGCCCTCGTTTTTGTTATTTTTCCAAGAAAAAGTGGGAATTTCGTGTTTGGTTCGCTGGGGATTTCAATGTCCTGAGAATTGAGATATTCAATGAAGTCTCATGTTTGGTTCGCTGGGGCTTGGGACATGAATGAGACTAAGACTTATCTCTTAGCCCAAATGGTTAGTAGAAAGATCCACCACCCCTTAGTATTAACTTCATGGAGCTTCTCATGACTATTATACCCTCCCACCTAATGGCTTCCCCACATCAATGATATATTATAATTATAATATAATGTATTAAATTACGGGCCATTTCTGTATTTAGAAATTTTGTGGTAATGTTTGTAACTCTTGAAACTTATAGGGGGGTCTTGTTGTCTTTGAAACTATTAAGGGGCTACTTGTAGTTTCCAAAGTTTAAGGGTTGTTTATAATTTTGAAAATGTTCAAGGGAATGATTGCAAAATTTTCAAGGGGGCTAAATTTTTTTAGGGAATTTGTAATTTTTAAACTTTCAAGAGCTTTTTCCGACTTCTTTGGGGCGTGCTTATAGTTTTTGAAACTTTCATGAAGTTGTCTATAAAATTTTAGGAAGAGAGTTATAATCTTTTAAAAATTTCAGTGTTATTTTCGCAACTTTCATGGGCAAGTTGCAAAATTTTCGCAACTTTTATGGAGAAATCAGATCGCATGATTTCAGTGCTATATATATATATATATATATACTCATTAAATCCTATGACTCGAGAACTTCAAAAACTTCCAAAAAACAAAAAAACATTGAGAAGTCTCCTTTTCATTTGAAAGATTTGACCTAGGGTTGACATGACTCTGGGGCAATACAAGATTGTTGGATTATTTTCTCTTGAACGTAATCGTACTCACTGTGAGATGATCTATACAGTGGGCACTGCACAATGGAGGTCCCTTGGTGAAACTCCTTTTGAATGTTTCTATTACAGTTCTGATTGAATTCTCCTTCATGGAGCTCTCCATTGGATTGCATGTGAATGTGATTATCAAACAGGCAACATATGTCTATTCACATTGAATATCAAAGATGAGAAGTTTGGATCAGTGATATCACTCCCCTATCCATCCTTTCATACATGTTTTTGTTTGAAGGAGTCCGGAGGGTAGCTTTGTCTAGTATACCAAACCCCAGTAGGAAGCTACTTTGAGATATGGACTATGGAAGATTTTGAATAATTCATGGGTTAAGAAATTTAAATTCTACACCATCAGCCTTTCAAGTTTGGGCAAGGTTTACGATGTTACAGATATTGTAGATATCTGGTGATATTCTCTTTAGAGTCTACGAATCTGGACAAGTTCATGTCATTTGTTATAATCCTTGAAGTGGAGATTGGCACAAACTCATCGATGGAGGACAAACCAAGGAGTGGAGCACTGTCTAATTTGCAACTTGCAACTTGCAACTTTTACAGTATGCATTGGAAATTGTTAATTTTGCCTATAGAATTGTTCAGCTTTAAAAGTTCACTTTCATTAATAGGAAGTTTGCACATCAGTAGAGAATTGCGTGCAATCATTGATTTAATGAGTATATCAGCCATCGTCAATTTAGTAAGTGATAGTAGCTGGAACTTGTTAATTTGTGCCTATTGAATTGTTCAGCTTTGAAAGTTTACTTTCATCGATAAGAAGTTTGCACTTCAGCAGAGAATTGCGTGCAAACATTGATTTGATGAGTATATCAGTCATCGTAAATTAATAAATGAAAATAAAGTAGTTAATGGTGGGGTTACCATTATCCTTTTTCTTGTATGTGTACCTAAAAGAAATTTGTCCATTTCTTAAAAGTACAATGACCTCAATTGATATTCATTGAAGGTAAAATGATCATAACTTCAAAGTAACACCCAATGTTTGTAGATGTTGAAAGTGACATAGTTTTAAATTGAGATATGGTAACAGGGCTAAGTTGAGAAAAAAAATAAAGATAAATTAAACTAAACCACTATGAACTATCAACATTTTGCATTAAACCCCCCATTAATTTCTAAAATCATACTAGACACCCCAAGAACTTTCAAAGATCACAAAATGCCCCTTAGACTATTTAAAAAAAAGAAAAAGAAAAATCACTCTATGACCTTATTATATTTTCAATTCTAAAAGAAAAAAGGCTCTCCTTTTGTGTTATTCTTTTTCCTTTTGCTCACACCGAGGATTGGGGACAAAACCCTAGTTGTTTTTTCCCTTTTGCTAATGCCTTCTATGTTTTTTTTTTCTAATTTATGGGTTACCTACAAAATGCGAAAATTTGTGAGGTTATATTTGTAATTTTAAAATTTATTCAAGGTTTTAGTGGGATTTTAAAAGTTATCGGGGATTTAGTTTGATTTTTGAAAGTCCTTGGGGCTTAGTCTGATTTTGAAAGTTATTGGGGGTTCACTACAAATCGCTAAAAGTTTATGGGAATTTAGTGTAATTTACCCCAAAAAAATAAAATAGGAACGCTAAATTGGGCATGAATAGCTAGTCCAATACTAAGTTAAGAAAAGGTACAGTAGATGGACCAATATTAGTATGAAGTTGCCGAACGCTAATAAAGTTGAGGAGGAAAAAAAAATAAAAAGATCATTTGCATATATATTTGAAAAACTAATATCTAAATATTAGTATTTGCGAAACTAACTCTTACCCTATCAACTTCGAAGGTGCATCTGGAATCAATATAAATCGTCAAATTGATGAGTATAAGTTTAATTACTTTATTAATAATTTTTATATCGTAGCTACAAATTGACCTGTTAAAATCGGGGGCTATTTTTCCAAAATTGATGATTTGAGGAATACTTTCCAAATGCTAAGATTTGGAGGTTAGGCGGAATAGATTTCTATCTTGTTGATGGTTGGATTTCCTCGTGCGTCCGAAATATCTAAATATTAGTATTTGCGAAACTAACTCTTACCCTATCAACTAATAGCTTTTATTCTTTCCCTTTTGAAAAACACAAATTTTTTTTTAAGTACTGCAGGCGTTCGAAAACCTAGCCGACATGGAGAGCAAGAAGAGCATCACCCCATCACAAGTCGAAGAAGACGGCTCCAAGAAGAAGAGGAACAAGATTCAGGTCCTTTTTTTTCCTATTACAAAGTTGATTCTGATAATTATGGTTTAATATTAAAATATTTGTGTGTTATATAGCCTGAAACGAAAACTGAAACTTGCTGCTTATGGCTTCTGCTACCACTTGACATCATGGATGACATTCTCTCAAGACTACCTGCGAAATCTGTTGCGAAATTCCTCTGTGCCTGCAAGCAATGGCTTTCTCTAACTCACGATGCCCGTTTCTTGAGATCACTGCACGCGAGATCCGCGAGCTACATAATTATTGATAAACATATTTTTAATGGTAAAGTAGAGCTGTATGACTTCAGTATGGGCGATGCGAGGAATCCTACGAAGACTTCGTACAGGCTTAATCTTGGGAGCAACTATTATCTGTTATCAAATTTTGTCGATGGCTTGACTTGTCTTCATTACGGCAGCGGAGGTCCTAAACCTGATATATACTTGTTAAATCCTATGACTCGGGAACTTCAGAAACTTCCAAAGAAGAACGGTAGTCATTGTGGAGCCTATGTATATGAAAGTTTTGGTCTGGGTGTCGACATGAATATGGGGCTATACAAGATAGTAAGATTATTTTCTCTTGGAAGGCATCCCACTCAACATCCTGCACATTGTGAGATCTATACTGTGGGCACTAGAGAATGGAGGTGCCTTGGTGAAGCTCCTTTTGGAATGTGGTGTTGTTATAAGCCTGTTCTCCTTCATGAAGCCCTTTACTGGATTGCAAGAGGTAATCTCCAAGGAGAAGAAAAAGTATGTCTTTTCAGATTCAGTATCAAAGATGAGAAGTTTGGTTCAGCGATATCGCTCCCCCAGCCCTCGTTATCCTCCCATATGTTGTACTCCAGTTTAAAGGAGTCTGGGGGGAAGCTTTGGCTTACATTCAGTAACCCAACCGAAAGTTACTTTGAGATATGGACTATGAAAGACTATTTGAATAATACATGGGTCAAAGAATATCAATCCCATAATGATGACCTCTCAAGTTTGCACAAGGTTTATGAAGGTGATGTCATAGATATTGTAGATGGTGATATTCTCTTTAAAGACTACAAAACTGGAAGATGGAATGTCATTTCTTATAATCTTTGTAGCGGAGCTTCGCACGAGCTCTTCCTTGGTGGAGAGCGAAGTGATTTTGCTTTTTACAGGGAAAGCCTTATTTCGCCAAAAGCTGTCGAAGGTATCTCAAAGATGTAGAAAACAGGGCGGAGGTGAGTCATGCATCGACTTTACGTGGGAGGATTTCAGTTATGATGTAGGCATTATGCACATGGGAAATTGAACCCTGTTTTCAAAGCTTGCTTAGATTTTTTTACACATCATATTTCACTAGAGGAATTGAACACTATCTAATTTGCTAGCTTACAGTATATTATGGAATTTCTTATTTGTGCCTTTAGAATTGTTTAGCCTTAGTAGTTTCTTTTCGCCTATAAGAATTTTGCAGTTTATGTAAAGAAAAAATTTAGAGTCATTGATTTGATGAGTATATCATTCATTGTTTGTTTTCTAAGTCATAATATCCATTTTCTTGGCTCTATGTGCAAGAGATATTACACTAATGCTTGGTGGATCACTTTTTCACATAGCTATTATGCAAAATCTTTAGCATTTGAAAATTTGTTTTCCTTCTTCTTAGATTAGCCTATTAGTCATTAGTTTGTTCCCCATGTGTATTCATTGAATTTTAATTTTGAGATTGTCGGATAAAGTTAAGTTTTCATTGTTGATATCTGTAATAGTTTTTTTTGAGAGAATATTGTGGCCCTATTTAGTTTTACATACAAGGTAGTTTAATTGTTGATAAGCAACTACTAGAGACATGAATATGCTAAACCATATAAAATGGCATGTCATTTCTTATAATCCTTGTAGTGGGGCTGTGCACAAACTCGTCCTTGGAGAAAAGAAAATGTCTATTCAGATTCAATATTAAAAAAATCAGGAGTTTGGATCTGCGATATCACTTCCCTATCCATCGTCTCATTGTATGTGTTTTGTAGGCATGTGTTTTGTTTGAAAGAGTCTAGAAGGAAGCTGTGGCTGGTATATTGAAACTCAATCAAAAGTAACTTTGAGATATAGACTATGAAAGATTATTTGAATTCTATATGGGTCAAAGAGTATAAATCCCATAATAATAACCTCTCAACTTTGACATGAAATGTGAAAATATGACAGATTGGTCAAGTTTTTATAATAAAGTTGATTATTTGTTGATTTGGAGGTTACTTCCTTCAAAATTGATGGTTTGGGAGGTAGATTTGCAAATATGCCTGGTTTAAGGGACATATATGAAAAAACCCTTATAAAAAATTGGGGAAGCTCTTTCTCTGCCCTACTACTTTTGTATTTTAGAATCGCCACACAGGTTTAAAAAGTCTAATGGTTTTCGAAGTTACTTTTTGATTTGCCTAATTTACTTGGTTTATCTTTTGCAACATAAAGACGCTCAAGTCCTTTTTCCTCTCCTTTTTCAGTTGAAAAAATATTTTATGTGCAGTTTCTTCAAATCTCAGTTAATTGTCATGCTTCAGCATTATTACTGGGATCTTATATACACTGTTGGACATAAATTGGTGTCTGATGTTACTTTGCAGGTGAGATGCTTGTATCTGAAGAGCACCATGGGGAAGCAAGCCTATCTGAAATTTTTTCAACTACACCTTGCGCAAATTTGACTTTGTGAAAGTTTTGGAGGAATTTTTTGTTACATTTGTTTGTCTGTATGATTGTTTTTAATGAAAAAGGCTGGGATCTGTAACAGATCCCAGCTACCCGCATTCCACCATAAACAAACTGGTTTAAAAAAGAAAATAACTACCATCTCCTACCATAAGAGGGTAGCTATCAAAAGTCTGATATGTCTTAGGTCACCAGAAAACAAACTTCATCCCAGTTCTTTTCATTATGTTATCAACTCTTGTTTGTTCAATTGAAAATTTGTTTTTACGAGTTGACAGAATGTAACGGGACTGGTGAATATTTTTTTTATCTGGATTATATAGATAGATTCTATTTTGAGACCATCTCAATTGTTGGATGGGTTTTCATGTTTTTGGAGCAAGGCTAGGCTTTCTTTTATTGCGAGGGTAATCTCCAGTACCCATCTGGTGTTTGAAGACTTCGAACTCCACCTTCTCAAAATTTTATGCCTTCCTAAATTATATTGGGTTTTTCTTTACAACTATTTGAGTAGGACGGTTGCTGGATTTATTGGCTATTTGAGTTGTTTAAACTGTTGACGTTTGTATGTGATTTTTCCTGTGGGTCATTTGGATCAAGCACTTGATTTAACCGGGCTAATTTAACTCATTATAGTCGAGAGATATAACAATCCAGTAGACTATAATAAGTTAATTTTTTTTTTAATAATTATTTTCTTCAAATTGTTATTAACATTACTTATATCATGTTCGGAACTTGTCGAGACATAAAAGGGCATGTGATTAATACACAACCTTAATGTCTACAATGCCCCTTTATGTACTAGCAAGTACTTTTAGGTGTCTGTTTATAAATTTCAGATTTGAGGGGTTGTTAGAAATTCATTTTTTAGGGAGTTATTTGTAAGTTTTTAATTTTTAGGGTTTCGTTTGTAGTTTTTGGGTTTTTTCAAGAGTCCATTTTTATTTTCAAGTTTTAAGGGGCTTTTAGATTTTCCAGGGGGCTATATGCATATTTTAGGGAGTTATTTGTAATGTTTAGATTTTAGGAGGATCTATGTAATTTTCATTTTTAGGGACTTCTTTTGTACTTTTCAAATTCTTTTTTTTGTGTTTGTGCAACAAAAAATTGTAATTTTCAAGCTTGAGGGCATTAGCAAATATCTTGATTTAGGACGGTTGATACGCATATAGTGTTGACTTGAGGGACGTATACAGCCATAGAAGTGGGTGAGGGTAAGGATTAACGATGGAAACCATTGGTAAATTTTAGAAAGTTGAGGGACAATTGCATCTTTTCTGTTTAATTCCAAGTTAGTTTCAGGGCTATAAATAACATCCCCTCTCCCCCATTATTTGGTCTTAAATCTATCGACTCATTTAATGGACTAAATAATCTCATCTAATCCCTGCTATAATTTCGAGCAATACATAGTACTGTTTTATTTTAAAGGATGAAGAGTTATTAACCCAAATATAGTACAGGATCCAAACATGGCCATGTTTGAAGAATGTTCCCCACTCCGGGGGAAAACCCCGTAAGTAATAATAATAATAAGGCAAAGCTTGAATTCACAAGTTCTGGAGATTCTAGAAAGAATAAATTTTTTAAACAGACCCATTCCAACTTTTTATTTTCAAAACCGACTCTTTTTTTTTTTTATTTACCAAAACCGACCCGATTTTGTGATTAGCAGACTAATCACCTTCCTAAATAGTCGGGGTTGGCAACCCCGACTATTTAGGACATTAATTTTTAGGGTTTAATGCTTCTAATTAGGGTTTAACACCGTCCTAAATAGTCGGGGTTGCCAACCCCGACTATTTAGGAAGGTGATTAATCTGCTAATCACAAAATCGGGTCGGTTTTGGTAAATAAAAAAAAAAGAGTCGGTTTTGAAAATTAAAAATTGAAATGGGTCTGTTTAAAAAATTTGTTCTTCTAGAAAAGCTGGGAACTTGAGACGAGTTAACAGATCATAATATTGGTTTCAGATCGTGATATTAATCAAGACCTAAAATCTTTTGAGCCATAATAAGGATAAGGAAAGTTCATAAGCTAGCCCCAGCAAGGAACCTACATCACTTTCATGATCATACAGATTAGAGAGGCTTTACCAGTTAACACGACAACATAACTTCACCCGAACCAGCTCTTAACATTCAAAAATGAGAGCAGAATAGGATATAGACCAAACATACTGTGGCGCGCTTATTTCAATTAAATTAATCTTAGCATAGCATCTTGATAAACATAATAAGTTAAACATACTGTTAGATCTACATCATAAACTTGAGATCTAAAACCATATAGCCATGATTAATTCAAAGAGATTAA